AAGTCCCCACAAAAGCCCACAAGGAGACCGAGTCCCGTATGTAAAAGCAAAGAGCTTTTGTTTTATGCAAGTTTGCAAACTCGGTATCTCTGTGTGTCCAACATATTGGAATAAATGGAGAACCCCAAGCTCAGTTCGAATAGGGTTTTATAGTAGCAAAGGTGGGGGTGAGGGGTTTCTGAGGTTCAGGACCCCTGATTGGCTGACAGTTGTCTAGGGGTGTCCTGGTGAGTGTATGCTGGCAGGTGGTCCTTCTACAGCAGCTGGAATGTTAGGCATTTCCTTTGGATGGTCTGTTTTTGGGTGGTGCTCAGGTAATCTCAGCTTGTGGCTCTTCCTGCAACCAGGTCTTGCCTCGAGGTAAACTAATGAGATTTAGATCTCTTATTAAATTTACTGATGGCTGAGTCCTACTCTGGCAGGTGCTAATGGTTGGAAGTGAAGAACTTCCCTTGGGTGGTCTGTTTATCATGGCTGGCTCCTACATCCACAGGTGCACATGTGTGTATGTATGGCTGCATGTGGAGGTCAGCAGTAGAACTCAGCTGTCCTCCTCCGATCTTTTCCACTTTATGTTTTGAGCTTAGGCCTCTTCTTGAACCTGACTGTCTGGCAGGCCAGCCTCAGGGATCCTTCCGTCTCTGCCCACTGAGATATGAACCGCCGAGCTTCATTTGTTTTGATTTATTTTTATGTTTTTGAAGGTGAGTTGTAAGGGTGCAGCTCAGATCCTTGTGAGTGTGCAGCAAAATCTGATCAGCTGAGCCATCTCCCAAACCCAATAAATTAAAATAAATTAATCAATAATTGATCCATCAATCAAAACTACCCCGAGCCCTATGACTAAGTAGCTGGAGGGAAATGTTTGGATTTTTTCATTCAGCTAACTCATCAGTGTGGGTGAATTTTCAATGAAGTGCTCATATCACACACTCACAGGCACACACATACACTATCCAAGATTTACCAACCAGTGAGTTTGCTTTAGTTTATTTTGGATAGGAATCTAGTGGTAGTATTTTTTTCCATGGTTCTTTTGACTTACCTTTATGTGCCCAACCAGGATCAGGATTCATGGTCATAGATATGTCAATTTGCTGGTCACTCCCAGTCTCCCTGTGTTAGTCAGGGTTCTCTAGAGGAGCAGAACCTATGATAGGAAAGTGTGTGTGTGTGTGTGTGTGTGTGTGTGTGTGTGTGTATCATCTATCTATCTATCTCTCTATCTATCTAAAACTTAAATGGTAGTTTGGAAGAAATGGCTCCCATGAGTTTATAGGGAGTGGCACAGTTAGGAGGTGTGGCCTTGCTGGAGTAGGTGTGGCTTTGTTGGAGGAAGTGTGTCGCTAGGGAGTGGGCTTTGAGGTCTCAGAAGCTCAAGCCAGGCCCAGTCTCTCTCTTCCTGCTGCCTGCTGATATGGATGTAGAGCTCAGCTACCTCTCCAGCACCGTGTCTCCCTGAGTGCCACTGTGCTTCCCGCTGTGACAATGATGGACTAAACTTCGGAAACTGTGCACCAGCCCCAATTAACGGTTTTCCTTTATAAGAGCTGCTGTGGACACAGTGTCTCTTCACAGCAATAGAAACCCTAACTAAGACAGCTTATGTTAAAATAGTAACAACAGTTGTCTCACACCTGACAGTTGCCTGGTCCGTCTGATGGGGTATCTCAGTAGTCCTATTCTGGTACCAACTACCTGCAAGGTTCCTGGTGAGTGGCTGACCCTTAGTCAGCAATGGAAGCCAGGATACTCCGGCTCTCATGCCAGCAGCAACAGGATAAATGCCAGGAAAAGGGCAAGTGAGCAACAGGGAAGGGCACAAAAAGCAAATCATCTTTCTGTTGTCATCTTTTTTATCTCAACCGCTTCTGGGGAATGCTGCCCACAGCCTGGGTGTGTCGTCTTACATCAAGACAATCAGGACAGTTTTATAGCTGTGCCCTTAGTACTCCGGTGATTATTATTTGTGGCGATTGGCTATGAACAGCCACCATTACACTCACCTGACACATTACTAGTGGGAGACTCCTCAGAGAGTCCAAGAGCTGTAGGCAGTGGTTTCTGAGGGAGGAATACGCTAGGCGGGGTAAGAACTGCCTCTGGGTGTACCCGAGGGGCCTGCACACGTGAGCGCACCTCCCCTCTCCATCTCAGGTCTCACAAGTGTGTCCTGGAAGTCTTGAGGGCTGCTTGGAATCTCTCAGAGTCTTGTGACAAGTCTTTCATTTGGAGACTCATGTCCCTGTCATTAGTCTAAGCTAGGAATAGCCTGTCCAATGGTACAAATCAGAGATCGGTGACCATGACAACGACAAGACCATGCACTAGAAACCCAACATCTCTGCATTTGCACTTAGGGTCTAGGTTCTACCAGCTATCTAGCAAGAAGGGGACATGATTCATCCTTCTACTGGCACTGTTTTTCCTGAGGCTCTGATGAAACCCACGGTTTGTTAAGCCTGCCTCCCAGCGGTAACTCCGACGAGGTGGAGTGCACAAGCACCCCTGCATGCACTTTTCCCTTGTATAATGGCTTCCACTGAGGCTCAGGGGTCTTCAGTTCATGTTCAAGGATAAACAGCCATAGTTTTTAAATTTGAAATTCGACTTCTGTAACAGAGACACGGCGTGGGGAATGGGTGTACCTGACAGTCCCTGAGAAGCCTCCACAGAGTTAACATCTAAGGTAGCAGGGAGTGGCGCTACTTTAGCATGGGTATGTGGACTATGAGGTGGGAAAGGAGCTAGGGGATGTCACTGGGACTCCATAATTGCTAGGATTCCTCACGGAGTCCGCTCTCGCTTAGCTTAGTGAGCTCTGTGCGGTCAGCAGAAGCTCTTCCTCCACATTCTTCCCTTCACCTTCAGTAGAGAAGCTGAGACAGGGATGTTAGGAGCAGTGTGGGGCATGCAAATGCCAGCACACCTTTAGTGGAGCTCAAGTATCTCCATGTTTCTGATGCTTTTTTGTTTTTTCCAGACAGGGTTTCTCTGTCCTGGAACTTGCTTTGTAGACCAGGCTGGCTTCAAACTCACAAAGATCCATCTGCATCTGCCTCCCAAGTACTGTGATTAAAGGTGTGCGCCACCACTGACCTGCTTTTTTCTAATATTTTTAAAAACAGTTTTTATTGCCTATTTATTTATTTATTGTGTATATGTGTATATGCGTGTCCTCTATAGAAGCCTCACATCCCTCAAGAAGCCCCTATTTCCTCTGTCCTGTGTTATTCTCTGCTCATTTTTCCATTTTTCATGGGACTACAGCCTTCACACTGCTAATTACAGGATAGAGGATTCTCCTACAACTTTTACAAAATAAGATTTTTAGGGGGCTGGAGAGATGGCTCAGTGGTTAAGAGCATTGCCTGCTCTTCCAAAGGTCCTGAGTTCAATTCCCGGCAACCACATGGTGGCTCACAACCATCTGTAATGAGGTCTGGTGCCCTCTTCTGGCCTGCAGACATACACACAGACAGAATATTGTATGCATAATAAATAAATAAATAAATATTTTAAAAAAAAAAAAAAAAAAAAGATTTTTATACCTTAAATTTTGATATTACCCAATTATGTAGAGTAGGTATTCCAGCCAAGACCCCGACTGACGGGGCTGAAGAGAAAGCTCAACAGTTAAGGGCACTTGCTGATATTTCAGAGGTCCTGGGTTCCAGCACCCTCATGATGGCTCACAGCTTCCTGTGACTGCAGTTTCATGGGCTCTAGTGCCCTCTTCTGGTCTCTGTCGGCACTACATACTTACGCTGTGTATACATATGTGTAGACAAAAGACTCATACTCATTAAAAGTGGAGAAATAAAAAGGAAGCACCTGACCTACAGAAACACCATCTTTATGTTTAATATTTGCGAGTAAAAACCACACTTTCCCCAGACTGTGCATTATTTGTTTGAATACCACATGAAGTAGATTCTCCCAGAAGAGGTAGGGCCTCTTAAGTTTGTTTCTGTTTTTTTTTTTTTTTTTTTTTTAAAAAAACTGGAGCTTAGCAATGTAGGGGGACAGGTGGGTACCTGTGTTTACTTTGTGATCACGGACTGTTGTGGAGGGGATGTTTTACTCAGAGAAATGCAATGTTTTAATTCATTTTCTCATGACTATGATTAAACATCCGATAAAAAGCAATGTGAGGGAGGGAAGGACAACTGAGAAGGAGGGAACTGAGGGATCAAGGGAGGAAATGAGAATTTATTTTCAATTCAGTCCATCATATCAGAGAAGGCATGGCAGGACCACGAGGCAAAAAGTTATACTGGGTCCTGAGTCAGAAAGTAGGGCAGGGGGATGTTGGTACCAGGACCACTTGCTCCGTTATTTTTTATTCTGTCTGTCAGCAGTGAATGGTGCTACCTGCATGTAAAGTGGATCCTCCCACCCAGCTGAACTTCTCTGTCAACCTCACCACAGACATTTGCAGAGGTTTGGCTTCAAGGCTATCCTAGAAATGGGTCAAGTTGACAGTCATTATTAGCCATACACAAGCATCTAAAATGTATGGGACAAAACTTTATTTTAAGTTGACGTTGAGAGAAGAGTTGGGTAGATGAAATTCTGAAAACAGAAGCTCAAGACTCGTGAAAGAGCCAGTTGTTCCAGCACACTGACTCAAGTGGACAAGCAAGAGCTTAAGGGAAAACGGGTTCCCTAGAGCCGTTCCATTTTGTTGGTTATCACCTGGGCATTCATCATGTGGCATTGGGTGATGGTAGCTTTTCCTGGTCCCCACAGTCAGCAGTGGGGAGGAGTTGACCCAGAGGGATGAAGTCTCTGTCTCCCACATCAGCTGCCTTCGGAGAGCGACGGTTGCAGCTTCTGTTCCTCTTTCCAAAACCCTGCTTTGTGCCTCTACCCAGAGCAGTAGACCCTTGTCTGCAGTCTCTTAGGAGGTTCTCGGGCTTGCCTTTCCTCTTGCAGTCAGTAGATGACAGTAGATGTCACCTGTCAGACTGCAATGTAGGGTTAACCAGCAAACTTACTCTGTTGGCTGTTGTTGAGGTGAATTCTACACAGAGGGCTAGGGCATTTCTGGTTTCCCTGGTGTCCCCAGTGTTGTGCCAAGTTTTCGCGGCCACCTTAAGCATGACGAGGTCTGTCTTGCTCTCACAGTTGGCCTCATCTGACAGGACATGACAACTGAAGAAACTGTTAGCAAGTTGAGTTGTACTCAGCAAGGCAAGAAAAAGTCCCTAAAATAACATGTAACTGGCAAGTTTTCTCAAAAAGACATCACGTTCCTTGTGTTATTTCTAACTGCCGCTAAGTTTTTGCCCAACTGGGAGCCCCCTGAAAACAGACACCGAAATAGAACGCAAACTGGCCATAAACTAGGGATTTTTTTTTTCAGGAGAAAGAAAGCAAAGGTTAAACAAAAGATTTAACTATATAGTTTACCTTGTAAAGAGATTTACTAGGGCAGTGATTTTTTTCTTTTATATTCATATTCTTTTTCTATAAAATAAATGGTAAGTGAATTAAATATCTGTAAGAATAAATAAGAGGTATGATGTGGAAAAAAGGTAAAAGCTTATGTTGATTAACTTTTCCTGGCAAGGCATGAACAATGCCCGTTTACCCCAGTCAGGCACCCATGACAGAGCGAAGAAAACATTCACCCAAGTCTAGCTTAGTGAACAAGGGAACACTGAGGCGACCCACAAGAGCATGACCAGGAGGTTATTTGTAGGAGCATGGATGATTCCCAAACAACTGCACCACCAAAAGCTGAGTCCAGCAAGAGGACCCATCCTGAGATCCCTTGCATCTCTTGAGATCCCTGCATGGTTGAAGGCAGCTTGACTCTACTCTGTTGGTGATAGTCCTGTCTCTCCAGGAATCGTACAGTTTATGTAACCTTAGGCGTGGCTGGGAATCTCATACATTTTAGGAGCTTCCTGAGACTTCTGAGTTTAGCCGTTTAACCAATTCTTTTTTTGTTTTGTTTTGTTTTGTTTTTTTAATACAGGGTTTTTCTGTAGCTTTGGAGCCTGTCCTGGAACTCGTTCTTGTAGACCAGGCTGGCCTCAAACTCACAGAGATCTGCCTGTTTCCGCCTCCTGAGTGCTGGAATTAAAGGCACGGGCCACCACCACCCAATTTTAAACAAGCAACCTCCCAACTTTAATCAAGTCTTAAAGAGACTACTACCAGGAGGAAGTGTTTGAATCTGAACAAAACACAATGTTTTTTGTGTTTGTACACAATGGCTTCGCATCTATGCGAAGAATTTTAAAAAGCTTAAGAAACTGTAAGTGAGGGCAGCAGGACTACAGGATCCAAGGTCAACACAAAAGAGTCTATTGCTTTTCTGTCTACAATTAATACACTGTGAAATTTACATCTGAAACCCAGTACTGGGCAGACTAGATGGCTCAGCAGGTGGAAGCCCTCACTATGCACACGTAAGAACCTGATTTGATCTTTAGAGCTATGCAAAAATGTCTAATGCTAGAACTTCTTTTATCTATCTATCTATCTATCTATCTATCTATCTATCTATCTATCTATC